TGGGGCCCTCTGTGCTGACCTGAGCTGAGGGCCGCCTGTTTAGGCGGGGTCTCTGGAACCCAGACACTCGTCCGGGAGACCTGGATCCCCCACCTGGAGCCTCTGCTCTTTCTTCCAACTGCACAGAGGCCCCGAGGCCCAGGGAGGTAAGGACCCCGGCGAGCTCAGGGCACAGCATGTGACGTTTCTAGGCTGAGGACACCCACTCCTCAGCCTGCACTCTGGAGCTCAGAGAACTCACCCCACTCAGTTCTCACACGACATTGCTCAGGTCTCAACACGACGCTGCCGACCCCGGACGCCAGCCCTGGCTCAGGGTAGAGAAGGAGGCCTGGTGGTTCCCCAAGTGAACCAGACTTACCATGTCGCCCCCACTGCTATGAACCCTTCCGTGGCTCCCCATTGCCCTCAGAATAGTGTTAAGCTCCTCTGGGTGACCCGAGACCCTGCCTAATCTGGCCCTGACCTCACGTCCCCCAACTCTCCCCTTTGTTCACCCAGCCAACCACACTGTCCTTCGTGCCACTGCTCTGCACCGCGAGCTGTCCCACCTGAGCCTTTCTTTGTGTTCAGAGTCCCCTCTGCCAGGAGCACCCTTCTCCAAGGTCCCCTTTTGAAACGACTCGGTGCTGAATTTTCTTAGGATTTGGTCACTGCCTGTATTCTCACACTAGACACAAGCTTTCTGGGGGAAGAAATCACAGCTCTCTCCCAAGGCAAGGGAGGACGAGTTAAGAAAATGGGTTCATATCCTGATGCCGAGCTATGTAACCTTGGGCAAGTAACTTAACCTCTCTGGGCCTTAGTTTGCTCACTTGTGCAATGGGGATAAAAGTAGCACCCCCACACACCTTCTGGGGTGTCAACCAGCTGAGAATGGTGCGTGCCACCGCAGGGCTGGCTCTGGGTTAGCGTGGCCACGATACCTGCGTACCACTGAGCAGTCACAGTCTGTCCTGGGTGGCTCCGTTATTTCCAGACAAAGCTGGCTTTTCGGATTGGCCGATGCTCAGAATCAGAACCATCCTTCTGAGAGTTCTGGAGTTTTTCTCTTGCTTTCTATTCCCACTGCTTTGGTGAGGCCTTTGTCATTTTGCATCAAACACCAAACTAGCTTCCCAGCAAGCAGAGCTTTCCTGGTTGAGCCTCCGTCAGTGAGGCAGCAGTGGAGCGGTCTGACGCTCACAGAGGCTAAGTGACTTGTCCGCAGACACACGGCCAAACAGGCCAGAGATGGGGCCTAGCGACAGTGAGAGAGAAGTACCATGCTTATAAGGGCTACATGTTAAAAATCTTGGAATGTTGTAAGCATCACCACAAAAGTACAATGAGAAACTTTCACGAACAGCATGAAGATGTAGACTGTTGTGACCATAAAAACATGTGCGTCAGCATCCAAATCCTAGCACGGACCATGTACGTTTCTGAACCTGGGCACAGAAGGGCCGGGGTGCCAGGCCAGCCCGCATCGTCTGCGGACCCATGGCCTGCTTCTCCGGCAGCTCGGTCAGAGGTGAAAGGCCTGGGTTTCCGGGGAGCTGTGATGAGGTGGTATCCTCAGGCTGGCACACCCAGGCCCCCTCAGGCCAGCCCAGGCCACAGCCAGCACCAAGTCAGATGAGCAGGGGTGGTTCTAGGTCCCTGGTGCTGGGCGCAGAGGGACCATTCCTGGCCCTGTTCCTGGTGTGCCGGGAGACCCCGGCCCCGCTGCCCTAACCCTCCTTGGGCCTCCCACTACATCTACAAAGGAGGAAGGAGGGAGGAGGAGGAGTGTGGGAAGAAGGGAAGGGAGTGCTGGCCAAGCTAATAAAAACAAGAACCAATTTTCTCTCTGTGCCCCTCTGCCCTCCCCAAGAACCCCTGTTCCAGCTCATGGAATAGCAGGAAGGGTGAAAAACATACCCCAAAAAGCCCCTGCCCAGCTGCAGGGGTGAAAGCAGAGTGCCCACCCTCCTTGGCCCCATGAGGAGGTCCCCAGCCCTCCTCTGACCCCAGAGGGGTCACGGCGGGCAGTGATGGATGGTGGGCTTGCAGGGGAGTGCTACGGCTCACCCTACAGGGATGGGACCCCTGCCAGCATTCCCATGGGGCCAAGTGGGACCTGAAAGCCCCTGCCCTACCCTTCACTCCATGGGGCTCTCGGGGACCCTTGGAGGGAGTCTGAAGAGGGTGAGGAAGGGCAGGAGATGGAATTTGGGGCCGTGAAGGGTGCTTTCACACTGTGCGGGGAGGAAGGCCTGGTGTGGACTTACTGAGGGGAACCAGCTTGAGCCGGTGTGGAATCCTGGCTTTGGGAGAATCCATCCTGGCGCTCCATGAGAAACCTCATGGCCCAGACGGTGGTCCCAGTAGAGAAGGGGGCACAGGGAGGGTGCAGGGCCAAGCTGTACAGATTACCTGCCCTGGACCCAGGCCTCACTCGCAGATCTGAAACCCGGCTTCACTACTTTTTGGGTGGATAAGCAATTCTGGTGCCTCAGTTTCCTCCTCTGTAAAATAGGGACAATGACTGGAACTACCTCACAGGGTGGGATGTCTGCTGCCTGCAGAGTCAGGGCCCCAACACAGCTGTGGTAACCATTATTTTAGAAGGGCTTCCCCTGCTCTCATTCTGGATGCAGGTGCAGCCCTGAAAGTCCTTGGGTCCGTGCACACACGTACACACACACACACACACACACACCCATGCGCGCATGCACACACTGCATCACCTGCCCCAGACAAAGCCCTCCCGGGGCCAAGATTAACATGCAGGGTTGCTGAATGACTCACCACCCCTGGCTGGAATGTACTTCCTGGAACAAGTCAGCACAGGTAGGCCTGGGGAGCCCCCCTCCTCCAGTCTGGTAGAGATGAGAGGCTGCAGGTCCCAGCATGCCCAGCCACACCCATGCGGGAATGCGGGATCCTGCTGCAGGAGTGGGCAGGGGAACCCCAGTTTCAGAGGCCTGCAGGCCTGAGTTCTAACCCCAGCACTGAGCTCAGATACGGGACTCTCCGTCTCTAAGCCTTGGCCTCCGCCTCTACATGAGGACCCTAGTGCCAACCTCATGGGGACGACTGCAGATCACAGAAAAAGTCTGGAAAGTGCTACGGCCAAGGGCCCAGCAGGCCTCACTGTGAGGATACTTGCTGGAGGCCACGGGCAGTCAAGGTCCTCTTGATTCCCGGCCCCTCATGTGTTTCTAAGCCATCAGTGGGCAGAGCACTGCGTGACTGGGCGGGTCCCCGCTTACCAAAGAACAGTCACCATAGCTCAAGGGAGAGGAGGACAGAGAAGCAGCTCTGCCTCCATCATCATTGGAAGGCCGAAAGACTGCATTTGTCTGGAGAATGGGGCAATCCCAGAGAGCTTCCGCAAGGAGGTGGCATTAGCTTGGGCTCTGAAGGATCAACAGGAGTTTCTAGACCATGAGACCTGTGAGGCCACTGTCTAGCTGTTACTGGCCTTGGGCAAGCTACTCACCTGGAGGCGGGCAAGTGAACAGCACATGCCTTGGGCAGCTTTAGGACAAGACTGGGCAATGGGGTCCTGGCAGGGACTGGTCAGCGAAGCCCGGTCAGGCATCCCAAGTCACGCTGTTTAAATAACACTGCCTGGCCACACAGAACGAGTGCACCAGCTCCGTGCTGTCATGGGCTGCAAGACCGCAACCCCGAAGCCTTCCAAACTTCCACTTTGTCTATCAAATCGGAATCCTGTTGATGCCCAGTGCACATGACGGACGGGAAAGGTAAATGAACCAGCATGCACGGAATGCCTGGTGCGGTGCCTGGAACACGGTCAACGAAGTGGAGCTGTGCGGACAGGCAGAGGGACGGAGGAGTGGAGGGGGGACCCCAGGAACAGTGAGAGACCCCCTGAGGGGCAGGACAGGGCAGCTGGCTGAGGCGTGAAGGGGAAGGCCCTGGACAGGTCAACCCGGGTCCAATCCAGTCTTGTCACATCAGGCTGTGTGGCCCCCGACAAATCCCTTCAACTTCCCAGAGCCTCAGTCTCCCCATCTGTAAAATGGGGGCGATGGTAAAGCTCCTTCCTCCAAAGACTAGTGTGAGAATAAGGTGCCAGAGGAGCCAGCGGACCTCTCGCTTCGAAAAGACGGGACAGAAACCATTGCTACGACGACAGAGGGCCGCCTGGGGCGGGGTTTCTCAGACGCAGCACTACTGACACGCGGAGCTAGATCTGTCTGTCGTGGGGGGCTGCCCTGTGCATTCACAGCACCCCCGGTTTCTACCAATTAGATGCCAGCAGCCCCCCTCACGTCCAGCTCACAACCAGGGTGTCTCCAGACACTGCCCAGCATCCCCTGGGCCAGGGGAGCAAAGAAGAGACGCTGCAAACACAGAGGCGTCTTCCACACCGAAGGTCTCCACTGCAGAACTAGTCCAGCCTCAGTGTTTCCATCAATAAAAGGGATACAAGGATCCTTTCTCTGGGGTGGCAGGGAGGATCCCAGGGAAGCAGAGATGCGGAGTGAAGATACGGAGGGCTACGTGCAGGCTGGCCCTCAGTCCCTGGCCCTCCACTGTCCCTGGCCTTCCACTGTCCTTGGCCCTTCACCGTCCCCGGCCCTCCACCGTCCCCACACCTCTGGAGGTCGACTCGTGCCTCCAGAAGGATGACCCACACTGAGTTCTGAATGTCACCCTGAGCCTGTCCTTAGGTGTACAAGGACAGGACAGGAGGGCAGGGGCTGTCCCTGCTCACTACTGTAACCCCAGAGGGACCACAGGGCCCAGCATACAGCAGGCGCTCAATAAATGGTGGATGAATAAGCAAGTGGTCACAGCACTGAAGCTCAAAGCTCAGGGCAAGAAGAGGCGCCTGAGGGAGGGACCGAGCCCCTCCAGCCACCTGGGCCAGCACTCCCTCGGCCCGCCAGCCAGACACCATTTCCTGTCTGTGGAAGTGAGACGTGCCCTTTGAACTCTCACATCCTGAGTCCCTCTCCCCACGCTGGGGTCTGGGAGGAGGCGGGAGGTGGGGAGATACTCACGTTCCCAAAGGAGGGAAGGCCCGTGGAGCCCAGCCATCTCCGTAGAGCCCGCGAGAAGGCCCCGTGGTCCCGCTCGGCCTGAAGCACTTGGGCCTCTAGGAGGGAGACGTGGTGCCCAACCATCTTGACGAAGGCCTGGCAGGGAGAAGGGAGAGCCGGGAGGGCTGGGGATGCCACACCTGCCACGGACTGCAGCCCGGTCCGGCCACACCGCCCCAGCCTGCGGACGTCACCCAGGGCCTGCTCGGTGGGGACACCCTCACGTACCCTGACCTACCCTGGCCGTAAGGGTAATGGCCTCCCTACTGTGTCCTCTCACCTTCTCCCCATGGAGACCCCAGCTTTAGCCTCTATTTTACAGAGGAGGGAAACCGAGGCTCAGGGTGGGCGGCCTGACCGAAGTCATGCTGCTGGCCAAGGGCAGAGCAGGGACTCAGGTGCTCATCCATCAGCCTGCAAAGCCTTCTTTGTTAAAAACAAGCATTTTAGAAATTGCCAAAATGTTCACTTTAATAGAAGGATATGAGAGAGTCTCAAACTCAGAGGCTGCTAAGGGGCAGGCAGGTGACCAGCACGGGAAGGGGGGCTGAGTGGAGATGAGGATGGCCCAGGAAGCTGGGCCCAGGCCCAGGGGGGCCACTCTGCTCCAGGCCTCTGATGAGAATGTCCCAGTTGCAGAGAGAGAGAGAGAGAGAGAGAGAGAGAGAATGAGAACATTCTGGGGTCAGACTCCGTGGATTAGAATCCAGGTTGCGCCACTTACTAGTTGTGCGTCGTCTGGCAACTTACTTAATTTCTGCAAGCCTCAATTTTCTTTTCTATTGGTTGATAATAATGATGACAGCATTTTATTGAACACGAACAGTACCAACTCTGCTAAGCCCTCAAGTGCTTAGTACATACTGAGTTCAATAAATGCCAGGTATCATTTTGGAAAAAAAAAACAAAACAAAAAAACAACTATAGATTTTATGAAAAGTCCCCAGTTTCTATCAATATTAGCAATAAATCCACAATTAAAAGAAAAATATTGTGCAGGCCGAGAAAAATTCAACCCACTCATCTGCATCCTTTTTTGTGGTATCTTCTCATGCCTTTCTCTACACTCAGCACACGTGTGTCTGTGTGATGCTTATGCATGTGTGTATCTAAGCATGTTCACGTGTGTGCCTGGGTGTTCATATGCACATGTATTTAACATGTGTGCGTCTTATGTGCATAGATGGCTAAGGTGACGCTGGTGCCGCCTCAGAAAAGCCTCACCTCTGTGGGCCACCCTTGCTCCCACAGTGACTGGAAGGGAGTTTCTCTCACCAGGAAGAGGAAGGAGGACATCTCGGGGCTGGGCCCTCCCAGGGAGCCTCCCTTTGCTAGAAGGAACCTCATGCCCCCCCACCAAGGCCTACAGGGAGCCCGCCATCCAGCCCTGCCCTCTCCTCCTCCCACACACCAGGCAACACAGGCCTCCCTCGGGTTCCCTGAAAAGGCCAGGCCCCACTCACCACAGGGCCCTGCCGCCTGCTCTCTCCCTGCCGCCCTGCTCTGTCCTTGATGGGAAGGGGTGGGGAGTGCTGCCCATCTTTCAGGCCCTGAACCGATTGTCCCCTCCAGAGAGGCCTTCCCTCTCTGCCTAATCTACCACGGCCCCCGTCATCGTGGAGAACCCCAGTTCCCTGTCTTCTCACCCCTCTTCACCCTCCGAACCTCCTGTCATCATGGAGAACCCCAGTTCCCTGTCTTCTCACCTGTCTGCTTATTCAGAGTCTGGCCTCCAGAGTGGAGGTCCTGAAAGATCCGGTGTGGTGTCGGGGATGTTCACAAGGCCAACACCAGAGCCTGGGGCCTCGCAGGGGCTCGGCCGGAAGTGGGCACATGGGTGTGAGCACACGGGAACGCATGCAACCTGAGCAAAGAGGTACGGGACAGCCTGGATGGCAGCACCGGGGCACCCCACCTTGATCCTAGGACCCTGGGATCAGGGCCTGAGCTGAAGGCAGACACTTCACTGACTGAACCACCCAGGCACCCTGTATTCATTTTTAATACAAAAACTGAGAGAAGCCCAAGTGCCTGCCTGAGAGGTCCCCAAGCCCCTCCTGGCAGGTGGCACAGATCTGAGAGCAAGGTGGTGCTGGGCTCCCTGGAAGCCCCCTGACCCTCCAGACAGGCGGGGGTCCATGGCCAGCTGGGCGGAGCAGCAAGCGGCCGTCCCAGACAGACTCACCTCTCAGCCTGTGGCAACAGCCACCAGCACAGCAGTGTCCTCACCGAGCACCTGAATGTGCCAGCTGCTGGCCTAACACCCTCATGACGTCTCCGTCAGGATGGAAGGCAGATTCCCATTACAGAGGAAGTCATGGATGCCCGGAGGAGGACAGAGCTACACGAGGGACAGATCTAAGGCCAGGGCCATAGGGCTCTAGAATTCACCTGCCTGGATACAACGTTAGAGTCTCCTAAGGTCTCATAGTGGGAAATAGGTATTTTTCCCATTGGCTTCAAATCCATGACCCTCTTAGACCAGCTTAGTTTGTCCTCCTTTTATTTTTAATTTTTATTTTTTTAAAAGATTGTATTTATTTATTCATGAGAGATAGAGAGAGGCAGAGACACAGGCAGAGGGAGAAGCAGGCTCCATGCAGGGAGCCCGACGTGGGACTCGATCCCAGGTCTCCAGGATCACACCCTGGGCCAAAGGCAGTGCTAAACCGCTGAGCCACCTGGGCTGCCCAGTTTGTCCTCCTTTTAATAGAGGCCCAGTTACAGAGAAATATCTCTATTCTAAGGAAAGCAACAGCCCAGAGGAGGTCGACATGAGGCAAACGCCTCTTGGCCTCCATGTTGGGGACACTCCAGGGCAGAGTGGGGACTGTGGCAGCCTGGAGATTCATATCCCATTGAAGGGGGCAGCTGCTGCTCAGCTCCAGCTGTTGGAAGTAATAGGGGCAGGGGCCTTGGGGTTGGTCATCTAGCACCTGGCCACACAGCACGGTCCTGGACCCTGCTGGCACCTGACTTTGTGATTTCCATCTAAACCTTGTAGTAGGGATCCCTGGGTGGCGCAGCGGTTTGGCGCCTGCCTTTGGCCCAGGGCGCGATCCTGGACACCCGGGATCGAATCCCATGTCGGGCTTCCGGTGCATGGAGCCTGCTTCTCCCTCTGCCTGTGTCTCTGCCTCTCTCTCTCTGTGACTATCATAAATAAATAAAAAAAAATTAAAAAAAAAATTTAAACCTTGTAGTAGTTGCTGGCCTAAGTGTAAAAAACGCTAGAGTCACTTTGGAACACGAGTGGCAGTTCCCAAAGAGAGTTCCAGTATGGCCTAGCCATTCCACTCCTAGGTTTTCACCTGAGAGAAATGAAGACATACATTCACACAAAACTGAGACAAGAATGCTCACAGCAGCATAATTCTTAAAAGCCAAAAAGGGGAAAGGACCCAGGTACCCTTCCACTGATGAAGGATAACACAATGTGGTGTATCCATCCACACACTAGAATATTATTTTCAGCCATGATAATGAATGAAGTTCAGGGGCACCTGGATGGCTAAGTCTGTTGGGCATCTGACTCCTGACTTCAGCTCAGGTCATGATCCCACGGTCTTGGGATCGAGCCCCATATCGAGCTCCCTGCTGAATGGGGAGTCTGCATCTCCCTCTCCCTCTGCCCCTCCTCTCATTCGTGCTCTCTCTCTTGCTCACTCTCTCATAAATAAAATCTTAAGAAAAAAAAAAAAACAAGTGAATTAAGTTCAGACACGTACTACAACAATATGAATGAATCCCCAAAACATTATCCTGAGCGAAGTAAGCCAGACATTGTAGGCCACAAGTTATATGATTCCATTAACACGAAACATCCAGAAGAGGCAAATCGGTAGAGCCAGAAAATGCATAAGTGGCTGCCAGGGGCTTGGGGTGAGGAGCAACGGCTGACGGGTGTGGAGTTTCTTCAGGACAATGATGAAAATTAGGAACTAGGTAGTAATGGTGATTGTACAAGCTCATAGATACACTGCGTTCTTAGCATATTTTCACTGTTCCATGCATTCTGAATGGAATGCTTCAAGAAAATCATTTTGGGGGGCATCTGGGTGGCTCAGCTGTTGAGTGTCTGCCTTTGGCTCAGGTCGTGATCCTGGGGTCCTGGGATTAAGTCCCACATCGGGCTCCCTGCAGGAAGCCTGTGTCTCTGTCTCTCTCTTCCTGTGTCTTTCATGAATAAATAAAATCTTAAAAAAAAAAAAAGAAAAAAGGAAAAGAAAATCATTTTGGACTTTTGTAGGGGGAGAAATAGTAATTGTGATCCCTTTGAAGGGTCCTGTCTTTCTCAGCACAGGGCCCAACTCCATGACCTGGCCCGACATGGTCAGTCTGTGCCTGCCACTGCACGCTCACCTCTGACCTTGAGCTCTACAACCCCCACAACCGGCTGACGGGCCCTGTTTCTGGCAGCCTTGGGTCCTCTGTCTCCCACCGGCCACTAGCAGGGGACAAGGAATCTCGCGCCCATCTCAGGGTAGCTCAGAATGAGCGTTCAACACACGCTGGCCGAGTAAATACTAGTAAGAGTTAGGCTCACGGGCCTCACTGCTGTCACTCCATTTTACAGGGGAGCAGAGGCTTGGGATTTGCTGGGGTTCACATTCATCAGGATTTGAACCCAGGCAGTGAGGCTCTAGAGCCAGGGGCGGGGGGAGCTACTGGTATGCCATGGGTGGAGACCAGGGAAGCCACTACACATTGTATAATGCACAGGAGAACCGCACAGCAGAGAATGTCAGGCCCCCAATGTCAGCAGCGCCAAGGCAGGGATACCCTGCTCTAGGGGCTCTCCCGTCTCCTCTGTGGCTTCCCATCCCTCGGGATGAAGGCCAAAATCCTGACCTTGGATCTCATGACTTGAACAACAGGGCTCCTGCTGCCAACTTTCTGCAGGCCCACTCTGGTCACATTCCCATACTCTGGCCATCCCAGGTTCCTTCCAATGTCCCCCTCTCCTCCTGCCCCAAAGCTAAGCTCCCTTCCTGCCTCTGAGCCTCTGCTTGAGCAGTGCCCCCTGCCCATCTCTCCCAGCCAACGCCACTCCTCTCCCCCTCTTCCTCCAGGGACCTGAGAAGCCACTTCCTTCCAGAGCACCCGCCTCTCTGCAAATCAGCCTTGGCCACTGTGGTCAACAGAATGGTCCCCAAAGAGGTCCATGACCTCATTCCCAGAACCTATGAATATATTACCTTACAGGGCAAGAGGGCAAGAGGGATTGTGCAGATGGGATTCAAGATCCTGCAACGGGGAGATGATGCTGGATTATCCAGGTGGGCCCCAGGTAATCACAGGGTCCTCGTCGGAGAGAAGCAGGAGGGTCAGAGTAAAAGAGAATCTGGGAGAAGCTGCGAGAAGTAGCTAAGTAAGGAAGTAGAGGCAGGGCCATGAGCTGAGAAATGCAGGGGAAGCTAAGACACGGAGGCTCCCCTAGAGCCTCCAGAAGGAACCAGCCCTGCTGACACCTCAATTTTAGCCTGTAAGACACATTTTGGACTTCCAACCCCAGGAGCTGTAAGATAGAAATCCATGTTGTGTTAAGCCACTAAGTCTGGTTATTGATGACGGTTAGAGAAGTGCTCTGTGGTCGGGTCTCTCCCGCTGAAGCACGGCCACGGATGGCACCTGTCTTTCTCACTGGGGGGGCCCCGCCGTGGCACACAGTAGGCCCTCAGTAAGAATGAGTGGACTGATGGCCACGGGAAGAGCTGGGCCTGAGAGCCGGGCCAGCCCAACGAGGCCAAAAATCTTCACGTTTTCTTTCCTCTGTCAAACGTGTGGAATAAAATTCAAATGAATCAGCTATTCCAAGGGCAAAGTTTTAATTATATTCCTGCCTCATTCTCTGCTGACAAGAATGTTAACTCTCTGCTAACTCCAGCGTTGGCTGTCATGCTCCTTTCCTCCGTGGCTCGGGGGGGCTCACATCCTCTCTGTCCAGGCGGGCACGATTATAAATGGCAAGTTCCTCCAAGCCTCCTGGTCTCTTCCCTGTGTAAGGAGCCTGGATCCCAAGCTGAGGGCCCCCCCCCATACAATTAAGAGCTGGGGCCCCCGTGGATGCCAGCTCAAGTCCCAGCTTCAAGGCATTGGCTGTATGACCCCGGGAAAGTGGCTTACCTCCTGGGAGTCTATGCTCCTCCTCTGGGAGCTGGGGCAACAAAGGTACTGACTTTGTAGTGCAAGGAGAAAAATGAGACACCCCACAGCTTAGCCTGGTGCTCACACAAATAAGATGTAGGTGAGGTAGGTCAGCAGAGAGGCGACAGGGCATGGTGGGGATTGTGGCAAGCAGCAGAACACGAGCGACCCCATCCAAGGGGCAGCTGCCACTGGCCCCATAAAATACAGCCCAGGCCTTGCAAATGTTCTAACTTCTCAATTTGGGTCATGCTCATATGGGAGTTCGTATAAAAATTCCCTGAGCCGTACACTTACGATGTGTATATTTTATGTATTTATACCTTGAGAAATAAATCTTGAGATTAATGTATTTAAGGTATTTAAAGAAATGTGGGTTAAGTGCTATCGAAGCTTCTGAATTTCCAAAAGCGGCTTAAAAGTCAGATTTTTATAAAAAGCACCCTAAGTATTATGTGGGGTACTTTATATAAATTCCTATTTGTCATATTTTTAAAAATACCACGTACGCATAGACCCCCTCCTGCCACCGACCCCCTGCACTGGGTCTAACGCCCGACACTCTCGAGGCCAGATCAGCATTTTGGAAGAGAGGATGAAAGAGCCAGAACAAGCCCACAGATCTTGCAAAGAACGCTCATGGTCCTGGACACACCTCTAGCTGGTCCACTCTGGCATAGATGCCACGCATCTCCGTCACTTTGGCCTGGAGGAGTGGGATGTTTTCCTCCAAGATCTGTGAAGTGTCGCTTCTGATCTGCAAGAAACAAAGCAGCTCATCAGGCCCCCTGCCCTGGTACCCCAGCCTCCTGCCTGCCTCTCGGGTCGCCCAGGGTCCGCAGAGCCCTCGTGGATGGCCAAGATGCCGAGCGGCACCCTGCATGGGGATGGGCTGGGAATAGCCCAGAGCCCCTGGGGGGTGGGGGGACCCAGACCGGCTCCGGTGTTACTTACCAAACCACTAATGGTTTCCCCCACAAAATTTACCTGACAATACCAGTCCCAAACGAACGAGCCCCATTTTCCAAACCACCTCACTGGAGCAAACGGAAATAATCGAAATCTCTCCTCTAAACCCAGGTTGAGATAAGTTTTCACTGCACTGAAATTAATCATACTAATAAGTTTATAATAATCACTAACGTTCATAATAATGTGAATGAAAACCACAGCTGTCACGTATCCAAGTGCACCCTGCGTGTCGACACCGCACTCATTTCCCACACACCGCATCTCATTTAAGTTTCAATTTCTTCTGCTTGGAAGGGCTCCAAAAGTGGCTATGACCTTTATGAAGCCACATCCTTCCCTTGATCACTGAAATCGGTCACCTATGTCTCTATTTTCTTTAAGGGCCCAAGGACCAAGCCTAGCCCCTCACACCCGTTGCGTGATCCCCTCCCCTGGACTGTGAACTGGCCCTGGCCACCCACTTCTAACAGAGAGGACTCAGCCCAAAAGGAGAGATGTCACTCTGGAGACAGGGTTACAGAGGACTGTCCCCCCAGCTTACTGGCATTCTGTCTCTCTTGCTCACACACACATTGCTCCCTCCATCTTTCTCACCTGGCCTCTCCAGGCCTCTCTCCCAAATAAATAAATTTTTTTAAAAATAAAATATTCAAAAAATAAATAAAATATTCAAGTGATTGAAAATTTGCAACGTGTCTTACAAGTCAGCACCTCTGGCCTACGTCTCCCAGGCACGGAAGGCTGAGCTGAGCAGTGGCTGCTCCCCTAGGTGGGGCATGAGCTCTCTGGTGATGCAGTTGCCACCCCTCCCTAATGCCCCACCCCTGCCCCCTCCACTCAGGTCCAGATCCTGCCTGGCTCCTGCAGGTACCTGCATTTTTTACCCTTGACAGGATAAAGCCCTCGATATCTTCCCTTTTTCTGCCAAGGCCCAATTTCGAGAGACATACCCATCCCTCACAAGAGTAAGCTCTGGAGAAATCACCAAGGTGCAGTGATACAACAAAGAGCAGATAACTCACGGCAAGGTCAGAACACAGTGAATCAAACACGAATCTTTTCTTTCTGCTAGTTTTTTTTTTTTTAAGATTTTATTCATTTATTTGACAGAGAGAGAGAGAGAGAGAGAGAGAGTACCAGCAGGGGGAGGGGCAGAGGGAGAGGGAGAAGCAGGCTCCCCACTGACCCACTGAGCAGGGAGTCCAATGTGGGGCCTGATTCCAGGACCCTGAGATCATCACCTGAGGTGAAGGCAGACGGTTAACTGTGTGGGCCACCCAGGCAACCCCTTTCTGCTAATTTCTAAAGAAACAAATAGGACCAGAACAAGGAAAATCAGGAGGGTCTGGTCCCAGCGACCCACTGGAGTGAAGGGAAGGCTGAGAGAGGAGGTTCACAGAGTGCGCCCTTCCCTTCCTCTAGCTCTGAAGGACCCCAAGGAAGAGGGGGTCTGGGGCCGGGTAAGAAGACCCCTCTCCGAAGACGCCTCTACTGGGGGCTCCAGGGAGCTATTACACCTGCTCGGGTGGCAGGCTGCATGTGCCTGGGGGGGGGGGCGGAATAGAGAGTAATCCTTGGGGGTCTGAAAGGCCCCCAACCCTTTCTTGTGGTTCCACCAGGAGCTGGGAACTGGAGGTGAAGTAAGGGTGGGAGGGGCATGATGCCAGCACTCGGGGCACCCTCGCCTGCAGAAAACAGGCCCTGTGAATCAGAAACTACCTCGTCTTCAACCTTTCGTGGCTGAGGACACTGAGCAAAGACAGAAAAAGGAAATGAGGCGGCCCAAGGTCACACAGCTACCTGGTGGGAGCTAGAAGGTTCCAATCCAGGTTGGTCTGAGGCTCCCGGTGGCACCAGAGGTCTTCACATGTGCCTGCATCACATCTGAAAAACCAAAGCACGCCCAAGCGAGGCGCCACAATCTAAAACTAAGGATATTTCCCTTAGAAGCCCAGATTTCTAGCTTCTGGTGAAACAGCAGGTGTCCTGGCCACCTGGGAGTCCACGTCCCACGTGACAGCAGTCGGCTGGAGCTGGGCCACAGCTGCCCCTTTGGTTAACGAGAGTGCCTACCGCACCCTAGAGCCTCCCCAACACGTTTCTTTGCTCACACCCGCTTCACGGGGTCACGTCACAGGCTGAGGTAGCACGTCCTCATACGCGGCTGAGAAGAGCAAGGAGAGGTCAGGGAAGAATCAACGCTGTCTGGGCCTCTGCAGGGACAAAGCCTCAGCTGGGTTTATGGCCTGGGGTCCCCGCAGAGCCTTCCCCGGCCTGGCCTCCCACCTCCCCAGAGCCAGCCAGGCAGCGGATGTGGGGTTATCTCCGAGCAAAGACGACTGTCCAGGATGATTCAGGGCCCCCAGGAAGAGGAGCCAAATGCACTTGACCCAAGCACACACATCAGTGCCAAATGCAAGTGCTGGCCCAAGGCCAGCAAGGAACTTTCTCCATCCATGTGGGCGAAGTAGGAGTCTGCTGCTCCCTGCCAGGGGTGGGGTTCTGCGGGCCCGGACAGGCTGCCCAAACTCCAGAGAACACGCTCATCGGCGTCATGACCTCCTGGTGCTTTGGTCATGATGATGGTGACCCCAGGAGCCGCCATCACGGGTCACTTCATACAGAGCTGGCACCCTGCTAAGCAATTATTTTTAATTGAATGTAAATGACAGCAAAGTGCTCAGGCCCTGAGCGGACAGCTGGGTGAATCTGTACGTGTGTTCGCATCGCCCAGACCTATGCGTAGAACACCCCATCACCCCAGAAGGTTCCCTCGTGCCTCTCTCCGGTCACAACCACCCTCCCCAAGCAAACCACCATTTGACTTCCCCCACCCTGTGTTCTGTGTCTGGCTCCTTCCACAGGGCTTCATGTGAGAGGCATCCAAGAGGCGGTGTGCACTCTGTTCCTATGCATTTGGGTTGCTTCCGGTTTGGGGCATCATGAACGAAGCTGCTCCGAGCATCTGCGTACGAATCTTTGTGGACTCTCGTCTTCCTCTCTTGGGTAATTATCTGGTAGTGGAATTGCTGGGATGTAGGGCCAGTGCATGTTTGCCTTTATAAGCATCTGCCCAACTGTTTCCAAAGTGGCTGTGCCTTTCTGCATTTCCACCAGCAAGTGAACAAGCGTTTCTGCTGCTCCACGTCCCCACCCACACTTGGTACTGTCGGTCTTTTTCATGGTGGTCAGTACAGACGACGTAGAGGGCACATCCTCGCTCATGGAGTCCGCACCGTAACTCTTTGGAGGAGGTTACCATCATCTGCGGTAGATGAAAGAGGGGTTTCCATTCCTTCCATGAACACATGGGGCTAATGTCCTCTCCCCTTGGATCTGGGTGCACTATGTGACTATTTGAACCAATACAATATGACAGAGGTGACACTGTGTCAATATTCATACCAAGCCTCCAGAGGTCTGGCGGTTTCCACTTCCCGTCTGTTGGAACGGTTGCTCCGGGAGGCCAGATGCCACGCCACGGAAGCCTAAGCTAGCCCTGAGGAGAGGCTGCACAGGGAGATTACACCATCCAGTCCCCGGCCAACCCAGCCCAGACGTCAACAAGCGAGAGGTGGAGCCACACTGGGCATCTCTGCCCCAGCAACCGGCACATGGCTCTGATGAACCATCCCCTCTGTGCCCTGCCCTGGCCCACATTATACATTGGTTGTTGTTCGACACCACTAAGTTTTGGGGTAGTCTGATGCAGCCACGGACAATCAGGACCATTATCTCCATTTTGCAGAAGAGAAAAGAAAGGAACAGAGAGGTGAGGTGCTGTGCCCAAAGACCTACAGCAGGAAGAGTCAGAGCTCAAAGTGGCAGCAACGGGCATGACATCTAAGGTCTAAACAGGTGGCAGGCGCATGCAGGGTAGTGAATCCCAGTCACATAGAGTGATCAAGGACAGGCTGGCAGTGGAGTTAATGCATCAGACAGGAAGCTGGACTCTCGTTCCTAATGGCCTGATGTTACCAGAAATGGAGCAGCTTCTCTCTGGACTGTGCACCAGGGAGCCTGGCCTCTCTCAGATCAGATCTCTAACTTGGTCAGTGTTTCCAAAGGCCAAAGCAGGGACACGGGGGACAATGTCCATGGTGTGACGTCACCTGCTCCTCAGAGGCCCCCACTCATCCCTATCTCGGATCAAAAGATAAACGAAGGTCCTGAGTCGAGGCTGAGAGCTGGACACCGCTCTCTGAGCCATGTGTGCAAACACGCCAGGTAAACTAAGCATCAGCTGTTGGGGCAGGAGGATTTCCACAACCTAAATGGCATCAGCACTGACCATTGTGGCAGAGGCCACGAAAGCATCGCCCTAGACACGTTATATTAAGTCAGGCAACACTCGTTTCTATATAAACTCATGAAATGGTCCTCGCTCCCATAGGAAACCCACTCTCTTCCCTTTCTTGAAACACAGGACCCTCTGGGTCTGGTTATATTTGCCTGCTTTCAGCAGGGCTCAAAGTACAGAGAAACATACTCTGCCATAAAACACACAAGCACGTGATGGACGTACCTGGCTGGTGGCCAAGGAGTCAGGGAGCCCCCCAAGGGAGCAGTGGATGGTGACAGGCTGGCGAGCTCACATGCTGTCTGCAGTGGGGTGGCCACTATGCAACGCTGGCCGATGCTGGCCAGGCAGGAGCAAGCACCCAAGGGGAGCTTTCCTTCCAAAAGAAGCCAGAAAGCCTGAGTTTTTGCATGATGTTCTATAAATGTCAGCAGCAAATTCCGTTTTCTTTTCCTTCCAGAAACATCCAACATATCTGCAGGCAGGCCTGAGTCCATGGGTCACATGCATGATCTCAGTATTAAAATCTTTGCATAAATGCATCTCCAGGCTTCTAGTTAGAGGAGGCTGCCTAACACCTTGGCCTCTCCAGGTGACACACACACAGGTACCCCCACCACCACCACCACCACAGGAAGCCTTGACAGTTCCTAAGGTAGGGTGGCTGGGGCCCTCTCCCCATCCAGGCTGGCTCCCATCCCAAGCTCCCCCCTCAGGCAGATAGTGGGTCTCCAGGATGGCTGAAACATAAGAACAAAATGTCCCTGGGTGACCAGTCCACCCCTCTTCCAAACCTGCCCCCTACCTCTGGGCCCCCACAGTCTACACTGTGCCCAGTACACCATACCCACAGGTCAGAGCCTCTGCCTGGACGCCCGCCCTCCCCAGCGGCTGAATTCCTTCTCTTCCTCCTTCAAGCCCCAAATTAATCACCACCTGTTCTGCAAAGCCTTCCCGATTTCCCAGGCAGAATGTAACGCCTCTGCTCTTCATTTTTTTTTTTTTAAACAAATTAAGTCTTAGGATCATGTGCCCAGTTCTTTCTAGACCCCCTCTCTCTCTTCAAAACCTCTGCAGTCTCTCTTTGCACCTTGAATACACCTTCAGGCTGGTGCTTCAACGCCGGATGACAGCCCTGACCGTAGGCAGTGGCGTGTGTGTGTGTGTGTGTGTGTGTGTGTGTGTGTGTGAGAGAGAGAGAGAGAGAGAGAGAGACAGAGACGGAGCAGACTCTGCATCCTCAGGCTCACCGTGGCACCCAGTCAGGGAAGGTGCCCAATGGCTGGTGATGAAGAAAGGATGAGCTGTTCAAAGTCTGTCTCGTTACTCGGCTCCCACCTGGACTCACACCCACACTAGAAAATGGGTTCTCAAGAGAAAAACACACACAGGTCCTGCTGGGGACATTTCTGTCCTGTTCACTGTTGGGTCCCCAGAGGATGGATGACACGAGATAGGTCCGTCTGTTAAATGAATGGGGAGGACACGGCACCCATCGTGTTGCGCTGCTTCAAGGAGAAATGAGGTGATATGGAAAACACGCCTCACGCTGTGCCTGGTGCCAAGTAGGTGTTCAATAAACGTCCAGGGCTGCCGTTACTGTTACTCCCTTGGGCTCTCACAAACACTTCTCCAGACATGTGCTTCACAGGGGCACAAATCTACCCCTCTGGGTCCCAGCTGGGCTTCCTCGGCTCCGAGGCAGGGCCTGATCACAACATGGAGCTCTACCCTTTGGGCCTTTGAGCAGAAGCCTTAAACCCAGGTGGCTGAGAGCTTCCAGAAAATTCTATCACTGCTCCTCAGGGCCCCACGCCTGGCTGGCTACCATCCTGGGCACACAAAGATCTAGAGAAGGTTTTTACATAATTTGGAGTGGAGACCTTGTCTTCTGAGCGCCTAAGGAACCATCTTCCATCTTCTTCTCAGCCCAGCCAAGGGGATTTGATCCAACAAAATGGAGTGGGAGGCAGAAACGGGAGAGCAAAAGGATTGGAGAAGGAGCCTGATGCCCAACCCTGCCTCAGGCTACAGCCTGGGAAGAGGCTCCACCTAGGCCCTGCAGGCCCGAAGCCATTTCCTGGCTGTCTCCATGTTTGCCTGGCGGACCTTGCAGAGCTGAGGAAAGTTAAATATAGTCTTAGCATCCCCGCTGAACGGCTCCCCACATCGGTGCCCGAGAGTGCCACCTGGTGGCCCACTCCGGGCTCCTCGGTAGAATAAGAGCCATCTGGGGGGGATGGGCGCCACCAAGATGGCCGCCTCAGGAAGCCTTGGTGTTGAGAGAGCGAGAGTGTGAGAGAGAGTGTGCACGCGGTTTGCCTCTCACCGCTGGCTGCTGCCCCATTCCTTCTGGTTGCTAAATCACCACCAAAATAAAATGGCTTCCCCAGAAAACTCCAGGATGGGCCTGGAGTCTGGCCTGGGCCTACACCCACACCTCCCGGGCAGGCACTCACCATGTCAGTCAGGCTGCAAAACTCTTCCAGCCTGAGGAGCATCCCCTCGATGGTCTCCTCCACCTCCTTCGCCTGGAAAGAGACAATATTCTGGAGATTAGCAAGTGGTTTCCAGGGAGACAAACGCCCTTCACTTTTTTTTTTTTTTTAAAAAAGCAAACTAAATCTTAGGATTATCTGCCCAGTTCCCTTCAGACCTCCTTTCCCTTTTCAAAACCTGTCCTAGCATCACTTAAAATAGTGATAAGCTGGCCACGACCTTGATGCCTGTGGACCATCCACTCCATGCAGCTTTTCACCAGAGAGGAGATAAGCGAACACTAGCAGGAAACAGGACAAAGCTACCCTAATCATCCCGTCATGGTCCTCGTCCAGATGAGGGAACCGAAGCTCCGGGGTGAGGCAAGCCTGCTGGAGATCACACAGCTAGCAAGGGGTAGGGCCAGGGTCGCCACGCCCACAGCCCCAAAGCCTGCTCTTACCAACTTCGAGAAGTGTCCCCTGACACACACAGTGGACAGTTAATGCAAGAGGCAGAAGACCTAAGAATGGACGCGGTTTAACAGAAAGGCCTGGAACCACGCAGACCAAACTAACAGCTAGGGGACGTACTTACACTAAACAATTATTCAGTCTAACATTTAGATTTAACTGGGTGTCCTGTGGTTCACCTGGCAAATCTATCAGTAGTGCTGCTTGGCCCTGGAGAGTAGGAATTGGGGGACAGGGTCTGACCAGGGAGACGTGAATGCTTTACTCAGTCCAAAACTCTAGGTTGCAGGGCTGGGCGGTAACGTAATGAGGGTCATAAATGAGCAAAGCAGGCTGCCGGGGCTCATGGTCATCTGCCCAAATCTACTAGAACAGCCAGCCTCCAGCAGCCATCAGTAAACACAGACTCGGGGCTGCCAGGGCCTTCCATGTTTCAAGAGGAGCCAGAAATTTTAATTTTATGGAAAATGTCCCAATTTTTAAGTGGTAGCACAGATTCATGAGCTACCAAGCACGGGCCAAGCCAAACATGACCGGGAAAGGGTCTGCCAATTTACAACCCCATTTAAATCGCTTGTGCAAAAATTACTTAGGACCTCATTTCCCCTCAAGTATGTACCACTTTTCATGACTTCTAAAATACCTGTGTTTTGTCTTGTTGCTGTAATGACCAGGCATCTAGGAAGAGAGTTTGCCTAGCACGTGAGCCACTTGCTCTGGCTTACCCCAGGCCAGACGGTTCTGCTCCAGGGAGGCGACACCAGACGTTTCTGGGCAGGCCCGGTACCCGCGGCCCGACACCTGAAGGCTCCCCTCTTCACCCACTTGTCCCGGGAGAGATGTTTACTCAGGGCCAGGGCCTGCTGCTTGCGGCAGGAGCCGTCGCTACCACAACAAAATAAACGGCTGTGCAAAAAAACATCTTTCCGGCTGGAGTAAAAATAGTACCGAGTTGCAATTTTAAACTCTGGAACCTTCATCTCACAGCTGGGACTATTTCTGGGCCTGCACGGGGGAGGCTTGACGGTGAAGGGGACCACAGCGGAGGCAGGCCTGAGAGACACACAGGAAGTTCTCTCCACCTCCAAAAAGTAAGATCACAGTAAAAAAAAAAAAAAAAAAAAAAAAAAATGCCCTTCGAGCACTAAGGAGGGAAGACAGAGCCCAGAAGCCACAGAGATGGGAGACAGGAAGGCTGGTGGCTTCCTTCTGATGGCAGAAGGGATGAGACAGGAGAATAGTAGAGGGGCAGGGAAGACTCCCTCCAGGGTGCAGACGTAGGCGCCCCACCCTGGACCTGGTCCCAACACGCTCAGGAAGGCCAAAGCTGCGGGGAGACACAGAAGCCCACACCCACCCTGGATGGGCTACCCCCTCCCCAGCGGGGCCTGAGGCTCTTTGCCCAGAGGAAGCACATCTCAACCTACTGGGCAGGGCAGCCCTGGTGGCGTGTTTAGCGCTGCTTATAGCCCGGGGTGTGATCCTGGAGACCCGGGATCGAGTCCCAAGTCGGGCTTCCTGCATGGAGCCTGCTTCTCCCTCTCCCTGTGTCTCTGCCTCTGTCTTGCTCTCTCTGAGTAAATAAATAAATCTTAAAAAAAAAAAAAAAAACCTACCGGGCAGGTTCAGAAAGGAGGCCTGTCAGTCCTGGGTTCAAATCCCATCTTATCTTTTGCCAACCGTGGGACCTTCATTCAAGGGCTTGACTTCTGCCTTTTGGATGGCTCCCCCCGTGACAGCAACAGCCACATGCATGTGGCAGGGCTGTTAGGAGGTTACCTTCATAGGACACCCAGTGGCTCAGTGGTTGAGCGTCTGCCTTCGGCCCAGGGCATGACCCCAGGGTCCTGGGATCGAGTCCCGCATCAGGCCCACTGCAGAGTGTGCCTGCTTCTCCCTCTGCCTGTGTCTCTGCCTCTCTCTCTCTCTCTCTATGAATAAATAAGTTAAAAAAAAAGAGAGAGAGGTTAACCTCACATAATGAATGTGGTTAAATCACTTAATGGACACACAGTAGGCGCATAATAAGCAGTTCCCTTACGCATCTCTCTCTCTCTAGGTAATAAAAACAATGGGCCATCACTATGTTTGGATTATCTCTTTCGATTCTCCCAAGAACTCCATCCAGCAGGTGCTGTGATTTCCCCCTATGTACGGACTGAGAAACAGGACCAGAGAGCTTACGTCACTCGCTCAAGGTCACACAGCTAACAAACACTGAAGCCACGTCTGACCCTGAGCACTGGGAGTCTGAAGTCTGCAACTACCAGGAGGCTCTTTGGAGAAGGAACTACTGTCAGCTACAGTCTCCATCCTCACCTGTCCCCCTCACCCAACCTTCCAGGGCAGTGCCCCCAAAGCTGGAGAGAGCAGAGAAAGCATCTGCTGACTGGCCAGCTAAGGAGGAACAACCCCGAGACATTCCCAACCAACAGGAAGGAGCTCGGGATTAGCCAACCCGCCATGCCCACAAATCATTCACAGGACAATTTTCTCTCAAGATAATCCCCTAAGTGGCCTCAGAAATGAGAGTCCTGCAGGCTGCAGCCCACACGCCTTTTTAACCAGCCCATAAGCAAAATGAATGCCCTCGCCATCCTGTGCAACTCCCTGGGCATAAATTGTCCTGCTCCAAGGGGAATAAAGCAAATGGCTCACCTAGAGGGACATTCAGGGCACTGCCGGTGGGGACGGCAGGAGGGCATTTTCAACACATGGCATCTACTTTCTTCTTACATAAATCTCCCAAAGTGCCAATCCAAGCTTCCCAGCTGGGCGTGCCAGAAAGCCAAAATGGGACAGCCCCTGCCCCTAAGTGACAGGCACCAAAAAAACCCCACAAACAGACCCTCCGCCACGGTCTTCTCCAGCTCAACAGGTGGAAACTCCATCGTCTGTTGCTCAGGCCAGATACCTGGGAGCATCCTCGACGCACCTTCCCTTCTCGGCCCACCCCAGCCAGTGTGTCTGCAAATCCTCTCTGTTCTGCCTTCAGAATTAGCCTGAAGACAACCTCTTCTGTCCACCTGCCTGGCCACCACCCCGGCACCAGGCACCGTCCTCGCTCACTGCTCCTTGCTTCCTCTTTGGCCCCCACTGCAGTCCACTCCCCTGGAAGGCCCTGTCAAAACCTAAGCCCTCCTCACCTGGCAAGCTTCCACCATCCTGCCTCACCGCCACCAGTATGGCCACAGCCACAAAAATGGAAGATGACAAGTGTCGTTGAGCATGTGGAACCCTCGCACACCGCTGCTGGGAGCGTGACAATGAGCAGCTGCTTTGGAAACCAGTCTGGGCACTTTTTCTTTTCTTTTCTTTCTTTCTTTCTTTTTTTTTTTTTAAGATTTATTTATTCATGAGACCCAGAGAGAGAGAGGCAGAGACACAAAGAGAGGGTGAAGCAGGCTTCCTGCGTGGAGCCCAATGTGGGACTTGATCCCAGGACCCCGGGATCATGTTCCAAGCCAATGGCAGATGCTCAACTGTTGAGCCGCCCAGGCGTCCGTGGGCATTTTTTCAAAAGGTTAAATGCAGAGTTACCCTGTGACCCAGCAATATAGCCCAGAGAACTGAAAACATGAGGTTCTTACAAAAGCTTGTAAGAAAGCATTATTCATGATAGTCAAAAAGTAGAAATAACTCAAGGTCCATTGGGTGATGAACGAACAAACAAAATGTGCCACGTCCACACAGTGGAAATATTATGTGGCCATAAAAAGGAACGTCGGTCTGATACATGTTATAGCGTGGATAATCCTCGAAAATATGAAGCTGAGTGAAAGAAGCCAGACACAAGAGGCCAAGCACTACATGATTCCTTTCAGGGGAAATATTCAGAAGAGGCAAGTCCACGGACAGAAAGTAGATCACGGGTTGGGGCTGATGGGGAGAGGGAGAATGAAAGGAGCAGTGCTAATGGTCATGGGGTTTCTTTCTTAGGGGACAGAAATGCTCTGGAACTAAGTCATGGTGATATTCACACAACATAGTAAATGTACTAAAAACCACTGAACTGTACACTTTAAAATGGTAAGTTTTTTGCGTTACATGAATTATATCCTAATTAGAAAAAGAAAAGTCCTCCCTTGTCCTCAACAAACACCTAATAGAGGCCTCGCCTACACCATCTGGGCCCTCCATCTGCTCTCCAACCGCACTGCCCACAGCTCACTCCCCACAAAACATACCAACCATTGTCCTCACCCCAGGGCCTTTGCATCTGCTTTTCCCATCCCTGACAAAGCTCTCTACACACTTCCTTCAGGCTTTGCTCAACTGTCTCTTCTCAGTGAGGCCTTCCTTGGCCTTGCAGTCCCCACCGCTCCCTGTCTTACACCAATTTATTTCTCTCTTCAGCCTCCATCACCAACGTCTTATATACTTTACCTGTTTCCTGTCATCTTCCCCCACCAGAACGAAAGCCCCTAGAGGGCAGGGATCTTAGAGCCTTTCACTTACCCTTCCTTACCCCAGGATCTGGCCCAACCCATGTCTTGCTCTGACCAACAGAATGGGTGGGAACAATGCCTTGTGACATGAAGAGACCTTGCAGCCTCTGATTCACCCTCTTGGAAGACCAT